ATTCTAATGGGATTTTGATAGCGACTGAGCAAAGATTCACCATGGAAAAGCACAAATAGCCAAAGGCAGCAGGGTATTTTCAGAGTGGTTAAAAATAATCAAACCATCCTTCATGAGCACCTAATTATATGCTGTTTGCTTTACATATGATTACATTTAATTATCACAAAACTCTATAATATAGATAAAATTATTCCCAATTCAGAGGAGAAACTGAGCCCCCGAGTCCTGATATAACTTGTCAAGGTCATGTAATCCTTACAAGACTAACAGAAATTCAAACTCAGGTGTTCTGACACTCATTACTCCCTTCTACAATTATGTCTTTCCATAGACAATCAGAGCTTAGGGAAGAAGGAAGGAAAGTGAAAGGTATTTCTTTAAATCATCTGACAAAGTGTTTGCTGATCCATCACTCATACAAAACCCAAGGAGAAAGACCAGAAATCAGAAAACATGGCTAGGCAAAATCATAAGTCTATGTGCATGAGGCTGTCCGTGGCAAAGGAAAGCCTGGAAGATTCCATGTTCTCTCCAGATAGGCACCAATTTCCTTTCCTGGACCTCAAAGTCTCTCTTTTTATTCTTCAAAATAACTTGTGATATTATTAAACAAATTATTTTCAAAATAATTTGTTATTCAATATTTTTCAATAATAGAAGTGGTGGGTGATTACAAAAACTGCCGATTTATATTTCGCAGGTAAATGTCAAGAGTGCTCTAAAAGCTCCTCACAAATTAAAGTTTTACATGTCATAATACTTCAGCCATACTGTAAGTTAATTTTGTGCTGGGAACAATTAATAATAGTTTCATTCATATTTACCTATATTGTTTTTAATTAGGTTAGATCTTGCTATGATTATTATAAACTCCAATTACAATCTGTCAGAAACTCAACCAGAAAATTCCAATGATTGAAATTATTTCTTTTCTCTAAGTTTAATCACCTATTTTGATTAAAAAAAGAGACAAAGGACAAGCAAGCAAGCAGCCAATAGACATGTACTATTTAGTTTTAATTACTTGTTTTAGTTAAATCTGAGAATTGGCATACCTCATTTCCTTTTTAATCATGTTCCCTACAGCACTTCGCTGTATTCCTTATTATTTTTTCCAGAGTATTGTCATTACTCTAGTAATAAGCCAGCCAAATAAATGTCGTGTATTAACACCAAAGGCGGTTTACTATGACGACTTTGCAGTAAATTTGGAATTAAAAATAATGAAGTTATTTTTTAAGATAATAAAATTAGTTAGAATGAGTAGGAGTCAGCCAGGCAGGGAGATACAGAAGAGAAAATAAATACAGAATCGAGATAAGACCGGAGGAAAAAGAGAGCTTGCCTAGAATGGCCAGATGGGCACAGGCATAAAAGAAGCTAAAGGAAGAAAACGGCAACGACATATGGAAGATGTAACGGCCTTTGTTGGGAGTCAGGACCTTAGTTTAAAAGTAACGGGATCTTCTGAAAGAGTTTGACCCAAAAGTTGCAATGATGAGATTTGAGTTTTCCAAGAGATCTCTCTAGCTGGTGATGGCAGGTGCAAGAATGGGGATGATGGGTAGAGAAGTCAGGAGACAACTGCAGTGATTCTGCGGAAAACGATGGTGGCTTAAAGGAAATGGCGACCATGGATACGGGGAGAAGCAAACACATTTTAGCTAAAGGAGACAGGTGTGTGAAAAAAAACATGGATAATAAAATCCAACAAATATTTGGTAAGTAAATGGATAAATTGTATTAGAAAGACACTGACTTCTAAAAGGCCTTCTATGGTGTGTTTTTTTCTTAATAAATCAAGTAAAGCAGCTATTCTTGTTCACAATTTTATAAAAATAAAAGAAAATCAAGAAAGTCTTATTAACTTTAATGCCTTCCTCCAAGTACTCAAAAAAAAAGATTTTCCATATAAATGATGCTTATACCTTTAAAACCAACACTCTCACATCACTCATACCATTTCAAAATATATATTCATACACATTTATAGATTTTTGTTCAAAAAATGGGATGCCAGATTTTATATTTTTCTTAATATTTAATATTATTATTATTAATTTTTTTCCTTATCAATTATGCCCTGCCAATTTCTTTATGATCTTTTCTTAAATAGTTAATATATTTTATCTAAAAAGAAATTTCTTTCAAGTTCTGGAAAGTACTAAGGAATATTTTCTTGGGATGTTGCTCCCATTATGTCTCTTCAACATGCCCCCTCATCCTGCAGAACATCATCTTTCCCACATCACTGAAGCGAGGAGGGAGAAATCCCTCAATTTCTTGCTCTACCCTGCTTCTTCCTGCATCACACCTATTCTTACTTATTTCATCCAGTCCCACTGGAAAAGGGTCCTCCTTCCTGGCTCCCTTTAGCTTAGTGGAAACATGTCTTTTCTGGAATCCAAGGTAGTAGAATTGCTCTAACATTGTTCTGGATCAAAGTCCCTACACATTCTTCAGGTCTTAACTATAATTCCTTTTTCCAATATTCTTACTTTCTCTGTCCCTGGTGCTTTTCCATCAGCATACCCATATTCATGATTCTTCCATTTTAAAACTATCCTTTACCCTTTTTAACAACTACCTAATTTCGCTCGTTCCCTTCCTGAATTTTTTTTTTTTTTTTTTTTTTTGAGACAGAGTCTCGCTTTTGTTGTCCAGGCTAGAGTGAGTGCCGTGGCATTAGCCTAGCTCACAGCAACCTCAAACTCCTGGGCTCAAGCGATCCTTCTGCCTCAGCCTCCCGAGTAGCTGGGACTACAGGCATGTGCCACCATGCCCGGCTAATTTTTTATATATATATCAGTTGGCCAATTAATTTCTTTCTATTTTATAGTAGAGACGGGGTCTCGCTCTTGCTCAGGCTGGTTTTGAACTCCTGACCTTGAGCAATCCGCCCGCCTCGGCCTCCCAAGAGCTAGGATTACAGGCGTGAGCCACAGCGCCCGGCCCCCTTCCTGAATTTTTAAAAAAGCATCATCAAAGGCTGTTTATATTCCTCTGCTCATTTGATAGTTGTATGTGACTCATTATTATACCCAGTTAAGAGATGCAAGGAAGACTCAGCAAGGTTAAATACTTTCCAAAGACTATAACCTAGGAAGCAGTTTAGACAGAATTCAAATCAAAATATCCTCATTTAAGGCTTTGTTGGCCTTTTAATATAAAACTTGATGGCATCAATGTCATTAGATGTAATTGACTTTTGTGTGTTTGTTTTTCTAACCAGTAATATCATCATGATTTAACCCACATTACCTAAAGAAGTATATATGAGTAATAAGCAAACAAACTCATCTTTTAAAATATGTGGCAGTACTAGGTACAAGTTATAAAGTTAAAGGTAAGCAAAAGTCTTTACCTTTGCTGAACTGGCTCAAAACAGTTTAAAGATTGCCTAAAAGGTATACTTGAAAAATAGGACAAAGAATAATTTTTTTTTTTCTAATTTTGAACCTGGTAAAAGACGTTATATAAAGTTTTATTCATTCACTTCTGATAGTATTTTAAATGCATGACATAAATAATAAAGTATTACTTGTGTTTTATTTTATACTACAGAATAATAGGTAAAGATGTAATAAAGTATAAATATGATAAATACATTTTATGGCCTGCTTAATTTATCCAAATTCAATTTCATCAGAAACAAACAGTCTAAGGAACTAACACTTTATTTTAGATGAAAAGATTAATTATACATAATTCAACAATACGATGACTATTATCTCAACTATAGTAAATGATTTCTAGTTTCTTCTACTATAGTTCTATTTTTCTAATGCCTTGAATATTCTTTTTATTTAACTTAGATAAATTATTACTTCAACAAAATTAACTACCTAAAGTCAATACATGTTTGCACTAAAGTGTTTAATATATGACTTTATTCTGTAAGCATTCATTGAGTGCCTACTATGGGCCAGGAACTGTGTAAAGCACTGAATGTAGAAAGATGGAATATGGGTGACATAGCTGCTGTCTGAGATCCTTCAAGGAGAATGTCAGTAGCATGTAAAAGTCACAGGTGACCTCATGAAACTTCTGAAAGTACATTTATTTAAATAAAAAAAATTAATGGATTTAACACACAGCATATGCAAATTATATGAAAATGCAATTTAATAATCATATATGTTAAGACTAATGTGCATCTCCACATTACTATCTTTCTCAAATATCAAACACACTAACAATAAATTTTTGGTTATATCAAAAGGAATGCAATATTTTTTTCAGAAAGTGTAAATTAGTTACTTTCTTGCCTACATAAAAAGCACCACTAGTGTTGAAAAATAACGTGAATATTTTCATATCTCTGAATGGTAGGGCTTTCTGAGCATACAAAAGTAGAACTTGGGTTAAAGAACAAATATGGAAAGTTAAAAGATGATGGAAGAGACAGAGACTTCTGGAGAGATTTACCTCCCCAGAAGGTTCAGTGTTAATATGTCAAAGGGGATATAAAACTTGTAGCCATATATTTATATTACAAAGTATCTGTTTACATTAGGAAAGTTTCCCTACTGAAAAGGGCTGCTGTGTAATAGCTCCTAATGCCCACATTCACAGATTCAGGGTTCCTCTTCTAGTACTTGTGGATGCTCCCCTCTGGCTCTCATCATGTTGCTCTTAAGGGAGAGATGGGGTGCAAGAACCTGATGTAGTTATCGCTCTAAGAAATAACAATCTGTCCCACCCAGAAACTTTGTGTTTGCTTTTAGGACAAAATGAATATAGATATTTAAAACTTAACATATTTTCAATTAGGTTTAGGAGAAAAAAAGTGTCCTTGAAGACAGAACTTTATATTATACTTATTTTGAGGCAGATCAATTCACCTCAATAGTCAATAAGTGATCTTATTCAGCAAAGACAATATATTCATCTTCTTTATCACTTTATCCTAAGATGTAGATACAAATCAAAAGTGAGGGTAGTATAGAGTACAAATGTAAGACAACCTATGAAAAACAAAAATAAAAATCACTTACTTGATATTATCAAGGCAGCCTGATTCAGGTTTCAGTATGGCAGTATGATGAAACATTTTATACAAAGCAATCCCAAGGAAGATTACATTAAGCTGGAATGCAAAAAGGTAGCATTATGTAGCATAATTGGAGTAGGAAAAAAAGCAAGTCTATTCTCTGTAATAGATGACTTGTTCTGGGAAATTAGCTCTCACTACACTTTTAAAGGAATTGGATCACAGATGACTGCCTGGTGTTTAGTAAAGGCAAAAAGCCAGTTTGGGGAATTGGGATACCACTGAGTTACAAAGCTCAGCTATGCCAAATCATACAAATACAAAATCGGCAGCAGTTGGAATGATGCTATGGAAATTTTGAAACAACTCAAAGTCCACTGTATGTTAAAAAACAAACAAAAAAAACAAAAACAAGAAACAATAAGTTTTCTTGGTGTATTATTATTTCTACATTCTGAACATGGCTCCAAATTTATTGCTTAGGGATACATTTTTAAATACATTAGAAACACACAAATACTAAATTTAATATATTTTTGAATAACTAGTTCAAAAAGATTATAAAATGTTGGTTAAATTCTGATGCTACAACAAACTAATAAACTAGTATTAAAGTAGAGGATATCCCCAATGGCATTGTTATATTAATAAAACCAGAGAAAGCATATGATTTAAAACAAAACATAAAGCACCAGTGTAAATTCTATATACTACATATATGTATGCTGTATAGTAAACCACATATTGAATTGCCCTTTGCCACCTAATTAATTTATATTTTTCACAATTTTGGATTAGTGGGGTCTAGGAAAATCCAACTAAAAGCCCCATTGAGATTCTCTCAATAATACAAATTCATAATCCTTTATCAATCATCTCCAAATCCAAACAGTCTGCAAGTTTTTAAAACAGTGAAAGTTTAAAAAAGAATCTATTTAGTGGCCAAAAGGTCTATTCTGAACTAAATTCATTTGGTGGGGAAAGCTGATTTGAATTAATACAAGGCTATCCATTGTCTTTATTCTACTTACTCTTATCTTTCCTATTTCTTTTCTTTTCTTTTTTTCCTGCTGAAATACTGCTGTGTTTGGTTACAGAGTGCTGCCTAGTCCCAACTGTGAGTACTGGTTGATGTGTTTGATTTGGTGTAACTGCCTGTTCCCCATTGGCGACATTATATATTATGCAGTATTTGTGCCATATTACCATTCTAAAGTATAAAAAGTATAAAAATTTTCTAAATTACAAAATACACCTGGCCCCAAGGATTTCAGATAAGAATTTATAGATCTATATTTTATTTAAAGTCAAGCAGCTAACATTTTATTCAAAAAATGGATAGTAACTTTGTAATTTAAAAATGATATGTAAACAATGTTACTAAAATTTTTATCTTAATCAGAATAATCCATTTTCAAAATCAAGATATTATGCATTTAAAAGTAAAAAAGGAAGCATGATTCCAGAATGCATGCCTAATTTGTTAGTGCCATTCTCAAGTGAAATCCTTTTAAATTTCAATGCTTTCAAGGTTTATATTAAAAAAAAAAAATACCCTGAAGGAACACTAAGGTGTTTTCCCATCTTTCCAATTCTTGTCCATTCCCAAATTATCCAAAAGAAAAAGAATGGAAATATACTGTTGTCAAACTTAATGTCATCACTGTTCAAATATCTACAAAACCAAATGGATTATGTTGGATGGGACCCCTGAGTAGCCAGAACATCACATAAAGTCTTGCAAATGCATGTTTTCTTCTCCCACCAGCTTTGATTAACTATTTTACAACATAAAAGTAGACTATAATGAGTGTCTAATTGCTTGAATTATGTAGGGTCAAAAAACTACATGCTTCCCCCGAATTAACCTATGTAAATTTAAGATAGTCAATACGCGGATAGTGAAAGTTTTATTTCTTGACCTGGGAAACACATAGTTAATTAGGAGTTCTTACCATAATTATCAAGGTCGCTGGTCCTATAAAACTCCAAATGAAGTAGGTGTCAAGTCGGAGCCAACATCTGCAATGAAACACAAGGGAGAGAAGGCATTCAAGGACTGGGTACAGGACATACATCAAGAGTGAGCGAGTGACAGAGAAGAATGTGAGCTGCAAAGCATTCCACTGGGAGACAGGAAATATTACATTGCTTGTTCATTTAAATGCTGAATTATGTGCCCAATTTCTGACAGCGCTATTGATGGAGTAAGATAATTACCCCTGGAAGAAGCAGGAAAAAAAATGGCACTGGCCCTATTTGCTAAGGCCTCTTGTGTCTATCATAGAAACCTTAAAAAAAGGAAAAAGAAAGAAAGCAACGGCCATACATGTAGCCATTAAATAGAGTAGCTTTAAGCTATCCTTTTCTCTCCAATTATGGTGCTACATAACCTGTCTATCAGCTGTCAGCCAAAGTGACATTTTCCCGTCAAGAAGATCTGAGGAAATTCAGTACAAAGAAGAAATAAATTTGGTATCAGAAGACTGAAGTTTAATTAGGTTGGGCAGCCAACCTTTGAGAGTTCTGGAGTCTAAAAAGGTGCATTGTTACTGCTCGTACTTCTGGGGTTGCAAATGATCCTTAGCATCCTATGAAGTTGATTCATGATTCAAAAGTAAATTATTAATCACTTAATTTCAGCTACATTTAATACTCCCCCGATTCATAAAGCCTCTGGGAAATTACATTTTCATTCCTCAGGATGACAGGAAGACAAAATGGAAGTGACTAGTTAGGAGAAAGATTAATGTAAATTTTGAACAAATTACATTTGATGTTAAAAATAATATTGTCAATTATTTGCCATTTTACTATATTTGAGGCATAATTAATTAAAAAGAAAACATCCCCACTGGTCTATATTCAAGAGTGGCTTGCTATGTGGTCTAAGCCTGCAAATCCTTAGTACTTAAATATTTCTGTGATTATAAAATTGTTACTTAAATCTAAGCAATAATGGAATAACAGAACAGCTCTTAAGAAAGGAATTTATAAATGTCTATCAATAAAGGGATGGATAAATAAAATATGTTCTCTTCATATGATGAAATGTTATAAAACAGTTAAAAAGAAGGAAGTAGATCTACATATATCAATAGGATAAATCAAAAATCAAAGTTGAGTAAAGGTGGTGATGGATCTATACTATAAATATATCAAAAATATATACAATATGGTGTATATATGTTATACATATATTAAAAACCACGCATTTAAGACAATACTTTCTGTGTTTGATGGATGTGTATGTATATTTTTGTATATATATTTTATATATTTTCATATATATACATATATGAAAAAAAATTCACTAAACTCAGGTTAGTGGTTGCCTCTCACATGAGAGTATAGAAGACCAGAAGTGGACCAACAGGCTTAGCCATGGTTTTATTCCAGTAATCACTGAAAACAAATATACTAAAGTGATAACAGTTTTAACATCTGAGTGATGGAGGCAGTGATGTTTATTATGGTTTTTGCCTTTCTTTACCTTTCACTTTTAATTTTTTTTAAAGAGTTCAAGAGCGAGGTTTTAAAGCAAAAATAAATAAATAAATAAATAAAAGAAGAAGAAGAAAGAAAAGAAAAAAACAAAAAACAAAACCAAAAACCAGTTCCCTGCAAAAAATTTAAAAATCACAAAGTGTGGCTGCCTTCTATCAAGTTAAGTACATGGAAACTAATTCAATGGAAGTATAATAGGCACTCCAATAAGAAACTGACTACAAGTTTATATTTTTTATATAGACAATTTTTCTTTATTCAAAGTAATCATAATAATTCTGTTTGGGCAAAAAAAACAACGCCATTAGCAAAGCACTCAATGTTTAGTTATTAGCTATTAGTTTGAGTAATTAGTATCCTTTTCTTGTGTTGTTCAAAAAATTTCATCATAGAAAATAGGAGTGTGAGATTACCTATAAACACAGAGAACTCAATGTTGACCATTGTCTCTCTTCTTACCATAGGCTAGAATTTGCCACCACCCTAATATGGTCTGTGTGTGTGTGTGTGTGTGTGTGTGTGTGTGTGTGTGTGTGAGAGAGAGAGAGAGAGAGAGAGAGAGAGAGAAGTGCAAGAAAATTTTCATGTGTTTCTCTGGGTTCTGAACAAAGATCTTATTCTCCCTCAGGGTAAAAATAATAAATGACAAAGCCTGGACGTTTCCCATCTCACACACACACTCCTGCATCTCAGGAAAGTTGCTGAAATTACAGCAATATGATATGATACTAATAATACATTTAAGAATGGCTGTTAATAGCGTAGCTCTTGTTGTTTTGTAGGTCAAACAAGTTCTTGAGAGCTAATCTGAGAACTAAAACACATTTTCAGCATATTTTGATAGGAAAATGTGCTTCAAGATCTTCTAAGATTATTATTTTACAGATTAAGGACATCCTATACAAACACCTTTAATGACATTATTAATGGTTGTCTTGAACTAAGGAAATTTTTAAAATTTTAAATAATCTCACCAAATGCTCTGTTAAAATAAAATGTCGTTCAATTATAGCCTTACAAATCTTTATGTTTTTGAAAACTGTCTTCACTTAGCCAATGTTTTATTTGGAAATGTGTTTTTGGGATAATGATCTCCTCTAAATGTGAAAGGTCAATTAGAAATTATTAGTTTCATTCTTTAAGAAAGTTTTTAATATCTATTTGGTAAAACAGATTTGAATCCCCTTTGGAATTGAACCATGAAAGAGGTAGTATGAAGCTTGTAAAATGTACTGAGTAAATGAACCCCTCCATGTAGGGCTGCTCAGGCTTTACTATCTTCTGGAAGGCTGTGTGGCAAGAATCCCTTACTAATTTGATTGCCATATGGCCACACCTGCTGTTGTTTTTGGCCACATGCTGGCTTTTTCAAAGCTTTCTGTATTTCCTCCTTTTCCCATTAAGTACCTTAAAAATTAGCATGATTCCTGCCCCTGATTCACAGTGGCAATGTTGAAACAATTCAGTCTGGCTTTAAGGTGAAAAGAATATTACGTGGGATGCACACATACATGCCTGTGCACCTAACCCACCTCATAGCATTCTGAGTCTGGCCATTCAGTGTCATTTGGATACAGTGTAAAACTACTGGTTAAGGGGAGACCAGGTCAGATTAATGAGACAAATGCTAGAGAAACAATTTATCATACTAAACCCAATAAAGGCCAGCCTGCAAATGGCTTGATAGAACCACTATTGAAAAAATATGATTTATCTGAGCATTGCCTTTATCCACCAACAACATTTATTTTCTGGCATTTGTAATTCTGATAGGTCAATTTCATATTTAATTTTTAAGATATCTCAATTTCTTTGTTGAAAATGAACTTTAATCATGTGTGTATAATCTATACATTATGTTGATAGAAGTACCATGACAAAAGACATGACTTAGGGTTGAGAAAGCAAGTTCGTTCTGACTACATTACATGTGTATTTCAATCAATACTAAAAATCTTTTGATACCAGATATATTCTGCAATTCAAAGAATTGTCATACACTGCAAACTTTGACTTTCCTTTTGTAAAAAATATTATCTAATACAAATGTCATTGACATTCTTTTTGTAGAATATTTTTTGCAAATAATAAAAGCAACATATATTGTTAGAGATATGAATTCTTACTGAATTAATACAAGTTTATTTGTTTCAGAATTCTAAAGAACTGGTTCTAATCCACAAGAATAAATGGTCTGAATTATTTTATTCTAAAATATAAGAAACATCATTATAAATTAAGAATAAAAGTATGGATATCCCATAAAAAATGTCAATTACCCATCCAACAAGTACTATCTTCATGTTTCCTCATAAAAGAAAAAATAAAATAATAAGTCAAATGTATTTCTCAACACAGGACAAATTAATTTCTCAAAATAGAATAATGGAAAATCATATTTCTAAAATTTATCTTCTATTGCTAAACTACTCACCATTTTATTATTATCAGTCATTTTGAATAGGCATGAGTCTGTATTTAGATAAACAGTAAAGTCAATTACCCAATATCCATAAATGTCACCCAAAACATATGTTTTACAATGGTTTAAGATACTAATTAATAACACTATCAAAGTATAGTTCTTTATTCAAAGTTAGCATGTTTAATGTAGTGTCATTAAGATACTTTGGGATATTATGTTCTATTACTGGTTTAATTCAGTCTTACCAAAGTATTATAGATGTCTATTAACCAAAGTCTTTTGAAGTAATGTTAATTAACAATGGTTTCTGCTTCATTTTCCACAATACGCTAAATCACAGACTAAACTCTTCGTGATGAGTATTAAATGTAACCAGTAAACAAAATCTAGCTACTCTGAGACCATAAAGTTCCAAAGCTTAATTATATCAGGTCATTTATGAGAATTTTTAAACTGTATAATATGCATCCCTGGCCGGGCGCGGTGGCTCACGCCTGTAATCCTAGCACTCTGGGAGGCCGAGGCGGGCAGATTGCTCGAGGTCAGGAGTTTGAGACCAGCCTGAGCAAGAGCGAGACCTCATCTCTACTAGAAATAGAAAGAAATTAATTGGCCAACTAATATATATAGAAAAAATTAGCTGGGCATGGTGGTGCATGCCTGTAGTCCCAGCTACTCGAGAGGCTGAGGTAGCAAGATTGCTTGAGCCCAGGAGTTTGAGATTACTGTAAGCTAGGCTGATGCCACGGAACTCACTCTAGCCTGGGCAACAAAGCGAGACTCTGTCTCAAAATATATAAATAAATAAATTAATTAATTAAAATAAAATATGCATTCTTTTCTCTAACATATGCTGATAGCTCTGTATTTGTTATATATATATGTATATACATACATACATATATATATATATATCTGGCAAGGTTGAGAGCTAAGAAAGGAATAATGAGAAACAGGGCAGGAAAGGACAAGAATGAGAAGGACAGATACATACTTCAAGCACAGTAAAACTAGCTCTAAACTCATTGCGTCATATGTTTGTTAAGGATTTTCTACAATGCAATTTCCATCATAGCACACTCACACATCT